CCTTTGTTTTGCTTCTGAACGTAAATGTAGCTTCTCTATGCGCACTTTATGTTGTTATACTTTTGCTTGTAATGGTATAAAGGAGTAGAGGTAAGGGCGAGTTACTATTTTGTTAGCAAAGCAGAAAAATCATACTTGCAATTCGTTTTCCGATGCAAATAAGTTTTCTATAACGCAGGAACGAAAATATCTATTTTTTTCAAATATTGCTAATATCTCAATTTTTTTAAAATTTATTTTAATTTTTTTTATTTTAAACTTTTACTCATATTTTAACTATTTATAGTTGAAATGACGGGAAGGGATTCTGGAACGCAAGAAAACGTGCGTAGATAATCTTCTCCCCCATACGTCACGTGCAGTTTTTACTGTTTTTTGACTAAATAAATCTAAATCTAAAAATCTAAACGATAGGAACGTCGCGATACTGTTTGAAGTTCATAGAATAATCTCTCATTGTCTGGCGGTGTTTCTACTCGTAAAAGAGTGTTTCTTCTGAAAGAAGGTGGGATCGACAACACGACGTAGTGGATGTAAATAGTGGATTTAAATTTTGTATTTCTGGTATTAATATAACGAAAGGTGAAAAGACCTTGGAGGCTGTCATTTGAATCTTAAAAATAAATATTCCTTGTCGTCCAGAAATTCCTTGTCTGAGTAATGTGAAAACGCGTTGGAAAATTGCGCAACAACGTAATGTCCGTGAAATTGATATTACTGTGTGGCACTCATTTTCTTTTCAATAATGTTTGTGTGGGCAATGCAGAAATAATTAATGCTTCTGGTAAAAATAAGTTTCTGCATTAAACAATTCGTACAGAATACAATTATTTAGGCTCTCATTCATAAAATTATAACATCAGAAACTAAGAAAAAAAATTAAATAAAACTACAAAATTGAAGATAGAGATTTTTTCTCAAAGTCTGTTGTACAAAATTAGTTGTTTAAAAAAAGTCGCGTATAAGTGTTTAAAAAATGGTTACTTTTCGCGTAATTTGGACTTGAAATTATCGTATTTTTTTCTCAAAAACCGTTACTTTTTTAAAACGATTCTAGACAAATGAAATAAGGGACGGTAAAAAAGATGGTGTTAATCTTATTTTCGGGTAGGTTTTTCAAAAATTGCAAAAAAAAAAATTAAAACTACAAAATTGAAGACAGATTTTTGTCTCAGACAAAGCTTATTGTACAAAATTACCTCTTTAAAAAGGCCAATACAATTTTTTGTAAAAGATAGTCGCGTAATTTGTTTAAAATTAATGAAGCATATATTGGCACCCCATATTATTTATGTAATATTGCGAGAAAGTATGCGCTGTTTAGTTTACAGAGTACAGTATTGTCCCGATATTGATTTACAAAGCTATGTTCAGCAAAGGATTCATGTTTTAAAAAATTGTAATAGGAAATGGGTGGAAGTACTTTCACACCCAATGTGCTTAACTACATCTTGGGGAAAAAAATAATAATAATAATAAAAGTGGCCACGCATGACAAAAGTGCTACAAGCCTTGCAGGTCTTAAACCGGCTTTGATCACAACTCAATAAATTTCTTGCACCTAGCCTAGGAACAAGGAATGCACTATTGATTAAAAGTTTTTATTAAACATTTGTCTCTATTTGTCCATTTGCTTCAATGATATTATGACTTGTATTCTAATTGTACTAATTGTTGATATTGTACAATTTTACTTTATGTAAGAGTTTTTGTAATTGTATTTCTTCAAGCTTTTTGTCATGTATGTGCTTTGATGTGATTGATTTACCAATTTTTACCTAGATTTTATTATGGGGAGACAGGGTCATATATGTTGTATAAAGTCTTATAAGCTTCAGACCCTACTAAAGTAATTCAAGTTAGTATCTTTTCTCTGCAATATTAATTACTATTCAATACGTCCTAACAGAGCTTTATTAAATCCCATACTTCTATTTTATTCAGCCATGAAACTAATTGAAAAGTGCAACTGTGTCAAGTGCACATCTGTCACAGCTGAATATCTTTTCAAATATTCTAGTTCCTATTGTTTTTGAATCCCAGTGGCTTGCATGGATTTTGGATCTTCTGTGTTAGGATCAATTGATTATTGCTTTTACAGTTTGAATTCCTCTGCTTTCCAAATTGTTGTTATATTTTAATAGTCTCTTCTTTCCAAATCACTGCTGAATACCTTGCCAATTAAAAAAAAAATACTTTTCTCATTGCCAAATTTGTGATGTCATAAACTCAAAATTTAAACCTTTTAACTTAAAAAAATTTAAAAACGAACTTTTTCATTTAAGGTCTTTAACATACGACATCAACATAAAATCAAATGTTTGAATTATTTTAAGTCTTTTCTTTTATTGTGAGAACCATTAACCACCCTTACAATTTCTTAAGCATGTGTAGTTATTAACTACGTTTTGAAAGCACATATTAGCTGTCAAAAAGTCTAAAACGGTTAAAAGAGTTATTTGTTTAATGTCAAAAAATATACTGGAGTCAGGTTAAAAGGCTTGGTCATTAGGTCTTACTGACCTAGCCCTGTAAACCTGACTCCATTATATTACATATGGTCATTAAAGATTCTCCATATGTCAAAAAATAACAAAAATTATGTTGCGTGTTTTTGCTTGTGATATATTCAATAAATTATTTCTGTTTTCAAAACAAAATATTTCTAAAGAAAGTTCACAGAATGGATTAATTTATTTCCATCAATAAGTTCTATACCCTAAATTAATCTTACAAGAATGAACAGTGGCGGATTAATACTCAATAGGGCTCTAGGCGATTACAAACGAGAACAGCCCCCCACCCCCACACCCCATGTTTTTATTTATTCCTCCTTCTAATATTATGTGTTATTAGGGAAAGCATTCTGAATTTAAACATGAACAAATCTTAAAAAAAAATTGATGGTAGATTTCATTTTATTACATTTTTGAAGTCCTGGATACTGAGTAAACAAAAATTGATTTTGTGTTCAATAATAAAAACCATTTGAATCCTCATGATTTAAAATGTACTAACTTTTTTCTTTCATTATATGAAGTTGCTGAATTTGATAGTAGCTTAAAGGGTCTCCAAAATCAATATATAGTTCCAAAAATAAAGTGTGTCAACTATTTATTTATTAAAATTTTTTAAAATATTTAAAAAAAATGTTTCATGGTCATCAGAACCTTTGTCCAAGCTCCATCTCTGGTATTATAATGGCAAATCTTGTCTTTATCGAAGGCGCAGCATCACTGAATAACTGCTCTGAGGAAGTCTGTGACATGACAGGGCACCACATTTATTGTATTAATGTATTCAATAAACTTATTTATAATAATGAAAAGATTTCATGTAAAAATCACTCATAACAAGTAATGCAAGACTATTTGATTGGTTATCATTGTATAAAATTAATTTATAATCCATCTTTATTTAATGACCTTCAATGAAATAAAATGTAGTTATAAAATCAAAGCTAAATAATTTACAAAGTTGTTAATGTTTTTTTCGTAATGTGCGAGAATGTTTATGTAAAAATGTAACATATTTTTTCTGAATATGTATTTGCTTTTCCCAAGAAACAACTTTATCAAACGTTAGAAACAATTTATAAAACAATTCAAAAATAGACCTTCATTTTATACTAAACTATATCTTTTAAATACATAACTTCAGTATGTGAAATAAAATTACATTTTCAATGATCTAACAAGTAAAGTAGGATGGTCACAAAAGATTTGACAGTTAATAGTAAAAAAGTCCTTCATATCCGTTAAAATCGAACTCATAATTTTTTAAATTTTCAATTCATCAATCGAATCATTTTTTAAAATTTCCCGCGAGAATGTTGTATGGCGACACCATGAGAACATTTTCACAGTGTCATTTGGTGTCGGACTTCCTAACCAGATCAGGGGTCTCGCCTTGAGACCTTGGGAAGCAAATTTAAGTTTTACGCGGTAATTCACATGAAGTCCCTGTAACATGATCAAATTGCCCAAATGTCTCCAATTTGTTTTCCTTAAAGGGGGAGGGGGGGCAACCACATTTCTGGGCTTCCTATGAAACTTTTTTACATACATACACGACACAATTTTTCTAGAAAATAAAACAGTTCTCTGAGAACAAACTGTTGTTTTAATAACACAATTAAAAATAAAATTGTTCATTTCCATTTTCTGAGATGTCACATGGTCTGGAGAGTTCCCCCAAATGCCTTGTCGGGCCCCTTACTGTCAGCTTAAAAAAGGGAAAATTAGGAATTGAACATATCTAAGAAAATTATATGTTTTACTACGAAGGGCTGAGGGTCCCATTTCGAAATTTTCTGGCGAGGCACAGCTCTCCTTTGCGCAGGCCTATAAACGGGTCGGTTTCCTTTAATATGAGAAAGTATGAGCTGTTGTAGCGCCGTTAGTTCTTCCTTTCAAATAATGGAAAGTATTAGCGAAACTATCCTTGCAGCCACATTTGCAGCATTAGCACAAACAAGTAGATGAGAATAAATGTTTCTGCATCGTTGCAATTTCCAATAAGGAAATAATTCAGGGCGTAAATTGGAAGAAGTATCTCGTACATTAGCAAATTGAGGTTACAATCCATGCAAGTAGGTGAACATCTTAAAGTATACCAACTTTTTATTTTTTCAATATTAAGCGATGAACATTAATTGGAATTGCGTTAGGCAGGACGCAACTGCCTTAGCTTCCTCAAACTTACCTGAAGCAACGAAAGTAAAAAGCTGAAATTCGCCGAAATCATTGCAAGTTTGGGCGTGTCTTAGCGAACCATTTAATCACGGAAACCTTCGACCATACGACTCGTAACATACAAGATAAGATGCAAAATCTTAGCTCTCTCAATAACACAAGAAAGTAACAACAAAATTGCTTGAGTGGTATAAAATGCTTTAAGAAAAAAATGTTCGTAATAAAATATAAATCTGTCAATTATTTCCATATTTTTCGGACTGAAAACATATCACACTTTGGTTGTCCCGGGCATTTTTTGTTTGAATGTTGGTGCTCCCAAGCATTTTACAAGTGCAGTGTGGCCATGGGGGTGTGGCAGGAACTGACTGGGAACTGACAGGCACTGACAGGTGCAGGCAGGTCCTGGGCAGGTGGAAAGGGCCAACCTGTGGCCAACGTGCGCCAGAGCGCTTCCAAGAGAGTATTATGTGCGTGCGCCATCAAGCCGCAGTCAGCTGGTTGTGTTACAACGAACTCACTTGTTTCAGTGAAGTCCAAATTGCTCGTGTTTTCAAATTAACAAAAAAAGTTGGAAGGTTATTAGAAAGTATTAATATTTTCATCCCCAGTTGTAGCGTACTAAATGTTGTTTAATGTTATATTGAATTAATGAACACAATAGTGTGCTTCATTTTATTAAGTTTTTTTTAACTGACTTAAAGTATAACGATTAAAGTTTATTTTCAGAACTTCTAAGATGTAGGAAATGTACTTCCATTTACACAAACCTCTGAAGATGGTTTAATAAAGTGTTTAAGTTTGTGACTACGCATTGCAAAAATAAATTTAACCTGATACTTCCTGCAATGCAAAATTCTTTATCAGTACCCGTAATATCTGTCAAATAAAACATCTGTCTGGATAATAGATGGCAACGAGCATGGATCCCAGTGGAATTAAACATTACTTTGTGTCAATTCATTACTTTGGGTACTTTGTGTCAATTCATTTTTTGACATAGTTTGATACATTTATTTACTTCTGTTGAAATGGTGCCTCTATTGTATAAAAAAATGAGAATATATTGAATAACAATAATAAAATAATATCAATGTTAATTATGACTGAGTAATTGATAGTAATGGGGTTAATCTTAAGCAGACCCAAATAGTTAGTTAGGTTTCCTGTAATTTGTATTAGAAGAAAGGTCCATGATTTATTTATAAACAGTCTGTGTGTATTCCAGGTAGTTGGGAAGCAATTTTTATCAATTATTGTATTTGTGAAATCAGTGAAGTACGAGTCTATATCATGAGTTGATAATATATTTGTAGGAAATTGCATGTTATTTTCAATAGTTACCATGAATTTATTCCAATTAAATTTTTGTAATAAAGGAGGAAAGTCAGAATAGTACATTTGAGAGTGGAAATAAATGTTTATTAGACTAGATAATGATCTGAATCAAGTTCAGATAAAACATTTTGAGTTATTGAAAGTTTATGTTTTGTGTGATTAGTGTATTTAAAATATCTGGGATGATATTTTCATTTTATGAATAATATGTGGGTTCATTCGGGGCATGAATTAGATTGTGATTAGCAATAAATGATTGTAATTTTGTTCCATTGGGATTGCTATTAAGACATCCCCAGATTTGATTCAAGGAATAATGGTGCCGCCTGATGCTATATCATCAATTCTGTCATATCTCTATGTTTTATATGCATGTAAATGAAGTTTTCATTGGGGATGAGATGAGTTTTGGTGATACATGCTATTTGGATGTTACAATATATAAAGGGGGGGGGGGAGGGTAAGAAAATGTTTAAATAAATGATATTGCCTTTTAATTCCATTTTAGATTTAGATTTTGTGAGACAGAATTAGATTTTTTGGACATTTTGTTTCTTCAGAAATGATTCTATAATTTGTTGAATTTGTGGTAATAGTGAAGCTGCAACTAATATGGTAATTACTTGTGAAATATACAATGAATGGTTAATGTTATTAATGTTTTGAGGATTGCAAGGTGTGTTGGAATATGCATTTGACCAGGCATTAGATGGTTTTTGAAGTGAGAGAAAGTCTGTTTTGTGAAATATGAAGGTTTTAGGTTGTGTTCCTGTACTTTCCAAATTATGTATGGGATTAGACTCTTGTGAAGTATTATTGAATTAAGAAGTATTGTTGTTTAGTAATTGGAAAAAAAGAGGCATCCTTTATAGTTTGCTGTATGATTTTGGTTACAGTTAACACAAACCAGAGATGAATTTTGAGTTGTGTTGCAGAGTGAATATGGGTGATTGTGATTACATTTGACACATCTGGGAATTAAACGACAGTTTTCTTCTGAGTGATCAAATCGATGACAGTTTTTACATTGTATAGGTGAAAAATGTTGAAAAACTCAACATTTTCCACCTGGTTTCCCTTGGTTAAGCAGTGAAATAAGGTTTTTAGGTGAAGAATGACTTTACCTTCTTTGATGTTTTGAAGGTCCAAAGCACAGGTTTGAAGAGGTTTTCTGGATTTGTCATAGTCGTCTAACAATGATTGTGGGTTATGGTAACCTAAATATTTAACTGAAAATTTCTATTTCTTAAATTGAAGACGGGATTTTTTTTAGCATTACAAGGTAAACCTTTTTGGATGGATTTTGATATGAGTCAAATTGAATGTTGTTTGATTCACTAAATTTGCAAAAGTTTCTAAAGTCATCAATAGGTGTGAACTGGATTTTTATTTCAATTTTTCGAGACTTGGTGGTATATTAATTTTACACAATTTTTTGTATATCTTGTATTAATCATTAATCCTTTTTGCCAATAACAGTCAACAGTAGAATTTTCACTTCGGAGATTAAGGGTTCATTATCAGCATCAGCAGTTTAATTGAAGATGTTGTATCTGGAGAATGTTGGAATTGAGTAGGTTGGTTTAGATTGTTTTTGATGTTTGGCTGAATTTGTTTCTTGAAGAGGTGGTTGATGTCAATTTGTGTTATATGAAGTGTCTGTAAAATTGTGGAAGACTGATTGTTACATTGAATTTCTTCTAATCTGAGAGCAGGTTGAGGAGCATTGATAGTAATTGAAGATGTTTGCAGAGAAGAATTTTGAGGTTGATGTATCATGTCTTGTGGAAATGACTTTTGAAGTTTGGCTAAAGAAAAGCTCTCACAGCATTTGCTCATAAACAATAACCCTGTAACGATATCTCATGAAACTACCTTCCTCGGTCCAACAATTTAAGAAAAACTAAAATGGAATGCTCATATCTCAAATCTTAACAAGAAGCTCACCAAATCTTGCTATGCCCTATACACCCTCAGGTCAAGCTCCAACATTGAGGCACTTATAACAATGTATTCTGCAAATGTGCATTTACACCTAAAATATGGAATAATAGTCTGGGGAAATTTCCCTGAAAATACTTGCACATTTATTATCCAAAAAATAATATTGCGAACAAAGACCAGCACTCATAAGCCGGAGTCTTGCAAACCCTTGTTCAATGAACTAAGGATTCTTCCTCTACCATGCATGTTAATATTTGAAATAGTGATCTACACAAAAAATATTCTCATGGAAAACAAAGACACTTTTACTTTAAATTCCAATGTACACAACTACTACACCCGTAAAAAGAATAACCTACATGTTCTCCACTCTGAAACTACACTTTATCAAAAAATATACCCTAATAGAGGGCATTACTCTTTACAACAAACTAGGCAATGATATTAAAGACATAAACACAATTCATACATTTAAAAGTAAATTGAAAGCTTTCCTGCTTAACAACATGTTCTACAGTGTAAAGGAATATTCAATTCACAACAACATTTTCCTTAAAAAATATAAATATATAAGAATTTCGTATCCCATCAGACTTTCTGTTTCATGTTAACTGTTTTGAACTGAAGCAAAGAAAAAAGAACTGGCATATTGCATTCTGTGAAGTAAAAGGAGGATGCCTCACAAAAAAAAAAAATCTGTTTCTCTCTGGATTTGCTAGACGCATTAGGTGCTGCAGTAGGACTACGTGTACTCCTCACCATTTCAAGTTTTAAATATAGAATGTATTAATATTGTTTAGATGTATGTAGTTGGTAACAGAATTGAAACGTATTATTATTATTATTATTATTATTATTATTATTATTATTATTATTATTATTATTATTATTACTACTAAAGTAGTAGCATTAAAACGACAATAACATCTTGAAATGTTAAATTATCTGCTACTAAAAATAATTATCTACTGAATAATACCCTAATCTATCTGTAATAAGTATTGTAGTATAATTTCTAGGCCAATGAGTCCATCTCGATCAGGCTTTGTTCAGTTTCCCTGGTCTCTTGAGCAAATGCTGAGATGGCCCCTTGTTTGCTCCTGAACAGTAATGAAACTTCGCTCTCTACACTCAAGACATCATATTGACTCGTCATACACAATTGTAATTGTATATGTGACTCAATAAATATTATTATTATTATTATTATTATTATTATTATTATTATTATTATTATTATTATTATTATTATTATTATTATATAACAGCACTGAACGAAATACAAAGACCATGTAGAGAGGTAACAAACAAATATTACATGAATACATTACCCTTTTAAACATTTTAAAAAGGTACATCGTTTGTCAACCTTTAGTCGAATATCTCTTCCTATCAAATTCCTTTACAAGTGCTCGTGCCCGGTAACTACTGCTTGGCCAGCACCGTTTGAAAGTAATAAAACGTTAAATCCCTTGAACTGATTACTACAGCGCAGTAAATTCCTTACTTTACGCATCTTTGATTCTAATAATCGCAACTAATTATTATATGACTTATCCAACTACAACTATTGACAGTTAATTTGCTCGACAATATTACACACAAATGATAAACAAATGTATTACACTGCTATTTACAATACTTTTTCTCGTAAACATAACACATATATGAACTGTATTACTGGCTTACAAGGTGCTCTTTCCGTTATTTTACCGTGATCTAGTTCGTACGACAATCTACTTGATTATGCAAATTTGGAACCGTAGACTTTCCGCTGCTGCTCTAGCATTCGTGTTTCTCCTTGATCTCAACTCCTGTTGCAAATGTGTTACCTGCGGTAGCGCGCGCAGTCTGCTGCTCGCAAACCTCGCTTCTTCACTCGTCTCGTACGACCTTGACCCATATTCGGCAGCCGCCCTTCCACTCTCCCGTCCAGATGTCCTCGACGTTGCACCACCACTGTCCCCCAAGTCTTTCTTCCCTCTGAATCGGCGCGTACGCTTGTAGCTTGCTCCCCGGCTCCTAAGGCCTTCGTCTTCTCCATCCTCGCGGTGCTTACCGAAGCGTGATTTTTCAGTCTTGACGCGTGGTACTAGCGGCGTAATTTCGGCGTACTTCAACACTTTAGATTTGTGTTGTCAAATTAAAAGTCTTGTGAGGTTTCGTGATATTCTAGCTCCTCTTTCTCTTGACTACTAGTATTTCCGCCGGATTCATACTGAGGTTTCAAGGAGACAAAAGTTTCTCATATTGATGTGAGAACAATGTTTCAGATAAAAAAACAAACACCCCGGCTAGTAACATCATCTTATCTGTCTTTACCAGAAATTCTGCTATTATTTTTTATCCTGTCATAACTAGTGATATGAAATGTTCTGTGTACCTTACACATTTATCTTACTGAAGGACATAGCTTGGAAAGGGGGAGGCCTTCTCCCCCTCCGAAACTTCAAAGTTTTATCTTTTTTGATACGTATAGTACTCTTCTCACATTTGTTTGAAATTTACTTCTTATAAAATTAATTCTAAGGCGACATTTCTCTTGTTCTATCATGGACCCTTGTACTGTAGAGTCACTTTCTGCCCCGGAGAAACGGCAGGAGGATAAAAACTGCAGCAAATTAAAGCTTAACAAAATATGTGCATGGTGAAGCGACAAAACAAATGGATCAAAATAGACACAAAAATCTGATTAAGAAGGAATTCATTAGCTTACAAGCTGAAGTACAACACTTGCTACAAGCACAAAATACAAAAATTGAATACACATATATATTAGTTTATTTGTTGGATTATGTACACAATACAGTATATATTTATATAGGAAGTGCAAAATGCATAAGAAAAGTCATACCAAGGTTAAATTATATTATTTACACCTGCAATAAAATTGCTACACCAGCAAGGGTCCACTTGGACTCACGCTCTTTTGTTTTCAGATTGAAGGTCCACACATAGGTGGGTCCTCTCGTTTTTGTCTTGTAAACCGGACATTGATACATGTTCTTCAGATCTTGTTTGTCCTGGGTGATAGCTTTGATGAATATGACAGGCACGAGAGGATATAATTCCTTTAGTTTGGATTCTGCTATACTACCCAATTTAGTGTCCCATCGTGCTCCTTCCATAAATAATCCATTAATAAAAGCACCTTCTCTTGGAGCTGCACTGTAATATTTCCAAGAAGGTTCCAATTTTAGAGAGAATTTATTTACATTATAAAGGAATATTTATTTTATTGTATGACAGAAACACTTGATAAGATAGGAAATAAGAAAGAAATTGTACTTCTAGGGATTTTAATGGGTGAGTGGGAACTAAAAAAAATAATATGTTGATAGGAAAATATGTAGATGTATTAAATGACAATGGGATCAAATGAATTGAAATATGTTGGCAATACTCCTTAAGAGTACAAAATGAATTTTTTCAGACCAAGTAAGTACGTAAGTTTACTTGGTTTCAAAATACGAAGTGAGTGAAATCTGTAACAGACTATCTAAATTCCAAATAACATTCCAAAATAAAAATCATTGATCTAAGAGTAAAACAAGGTACTGCCTGTGGGTGAAATCACCATTATTAAAAGCCAGTTTACATTTAAAATACCATCTTTATACAAAAACAATAAGTGAAGGAAAGCAAGATCCCTGAATAAACCCAAAATATAGCTTAGAAGGCACACCACTTCTCTACAAAATAAGATTGGCTGAGAAAATGAAATGTACACATAAGGGAAATGTATGATAATATAGCAGTTAAAGGAAATTGTGTAAAAAAAGTTGCTAATCATACTACTAGTTGAGTACAAAGGATCCTGTAGATAAATGAATATATAGGTAGACTGTGTGGACGAGTTTTGTGAAAGAAAATTGAATAAAAGATTAGAGAAATAGAAGAACAATATGGTTTTAGAGCAGGGCTTTCCTGTATGGATAACAAACTTCGTCAAACAATTTATGGAAAAGACCTTAGCTTGTTGGAATCAATTCCACCTTCTTTTTGTAGATTTAAAAAAAGCTTTGACAGTGTGCCAGTAAAAAAATTGTGGGAGATTATGGCTGAAAATGACATCTATCCAATGTACATAAGTCTTGTTAAACCGTTTTATATGAGCAGTGTTTTATGATTATATAAGCAGTGTAAAGAGCAGAGGAAATGATTTTTTGAAATTTTTCCCTGTGAATGAGGAGTTAAGATAGCTGCTTGTTACCTGATTTGTTCAAAATATATTCAAATATGTGTTAAGAAATTAGTCAAGAAAGTGCAGAAAAATAGGAGTCCAAATTGTATCAGAAAATAGTTTTTATTGAATGTTTGCTGAAGACCAATTTGTATTTGCAGACGAAAAAGAAGATAATACCAATATAGCTAGAAAGTTCGTGAAAGGGTATAAAGAATTGGGCCTAGAAATCAGCAGGAAAAAAAACTGAATATATGTTACTAGGATATGAGAGTCAAGATCAAAATATTGATGGGCACGTAATAAAGAATACAACTAAATACAAATATCTTGGAGTGATATTTACACAAAAAACAGAGATGATGATGACATCCCACAAAAAATTACAAAAGATCGAACTAGAGTTTTCAAATTAAATCCTGTATTATAGAGCCAAAACATAAGAAAATAACTGAAGTAGAACATATTAAATCAATGGTTGAAAGTTGTAGGGGATAGTTGACAGTTAGTGATAATTGAGTGGAAGTCTGGAATAAGCAAACACATAAAAAGCAGAATAAATGCTGCAGCAAAAAGCTTTTGGAGACAATGCTGCAGACTTACCCTACAAAATTAAGACCAAATGCGATAAAAGAGAAGGAAGGTCTAAGTGATGTAATGGAAAGTCTGACTGAAAAACAGCAACTGTTATGGTATGGACATCTTAGGAGAATGTTGTATGAAAGACTATCTCTGAAAGTTTGGGAGAGAATTGCAACAAAAAATCTATTAGAGGGAGAAACACGGATGAAGGATGGACAAGAAAATATGGAAAAAGAATTTGTGATAGATGGCGTAAGCTGTAAAGTGGCGCTACTATGATTTACAATAACGAAAGAAGCAGAACATAAAAGAAATTTGTTGTGGTGACAAATTTTTACATTATATATATGATTGGGTACAGGGTGAACAGGCAAATGAGATACATTTCAATATCATACTGTTTTGCTAAAGAAAATATTTCTCTCATTAACAGATCAAATATTATTTCAAATTTAAAAAAAACTGAAACTTACATTTACAATTACCATAATCTTATTGTAATGCTACTATTATTTCATTGACATTACCAACGATTCCTAATAGGTTTTCTTTTCTCCATTGGATGAGTGATGATTATTTCTAAGAGTTGTGGAACGCCTTATTCTATAAGTTCAAACTTACGTTATGTCTTCCTTGAATTTCTTTGTTACATCACAATACAAGCACATTTTGTCTAAAGGCCATTCATTTTTTCGAGCTGTTGATTGCATAATAGCAGTGAGGAAGGACTGAGGGTTGAAGAATCCTCCTAGCCAAACTGAAGAGGGAAGCTGAAAAATTTCACATACATTTCCCATTAGACAATAAAAGACTTGTTCTAGTATGCACAAGAGTATTTTCACTCACATTAAAATCTCCTGACCAATTTTCCAATTCTCTGTATCGTGTTTGCAAATCTGCAAACCATGGACCTAGAGTAAACATTGATGGGTATGCCTTACTTGACCAAGAATCAGGAACTGCATCAATAAAGAGAGATTCTTGGAGGCCTTCCATCTCTGGTGTGATAGTCAGTTCACCCTGTTCAAAAAGTTAATTTTATGGCTATTAATTTTATCTTAAGGAATTAAAGTAGGTACTATTATTTTAATATAGACAGTGGCAATTGGAATTGAACAGTAGTCTAAATGGAGTTACCACAATATATCACAAAATTGTACCATTGTATTTTTCACTACCATTGTATTTTTCATTCTGTTCTGCTAATTGTTCTTATAGGACTACTTAACACACTATTTGTAATTAAAAAAGCCATTTCAAATATTGAACATTCAAATTCAAATATGAGTAAAACGAAAGAATGAAAATCAGATTGATGAGTGGTTTCAAAAAGTAGAGTGAATGACTTTTAAGAGGTATTGAAAGACAGATCTTTCTAGTTCAGTGGGTAAGTAGGGCCAAATGAAGAGAACAGAAAAGAGAAAGAATCTCTTATTTAAGAATATTGAATTAAATTTCTCACCTTCAAACCTAAGAATAACTCATGTAAAGTACGTGATATTTCTCTGACAAGAATATTCATTCTTTCACATTCTTGAAATGCGACAATGATATATGGCGTTCTTTCTTCTGTTCGGGCCATGATATCTACCATATTAAAAAGTTCTGGAATTCTGTCTAAATATTCTTCTAACAGTGATCTTATCTGTAATAAAATATATTTATATTCACAATAAGCAGTTTCACCATTTTTTTAACATATTAATTTCTTTTCAATTTTATTTGTATTTCAAATGTCTTCATAGTTTGCATTCTGGTAAATACAGTTATGTGTGAGTAAGCAGGTTTAATTTATTTTGTGCAAATATGTTGTGATTGATATAGCGATTTTTCCACAAAAAGTGGAAAATACGCAAAAATGATTTTCTAGCAAACGACTCGAATTTTTTCTCTGAGAATTTTATGAAATTTAATAAAGTTTGCTTAATTATCTGGTGTAAGTTCTATTTCCTTTGAAAAAGTGAACTCTTGCTATTTTCAAAATTCCAAAATTTTAAAATATTTTTTACCAATTAATATTGAAGTAAAGATTCATTTAGCAACGCAACATTTTTCTTATATTAGATCTTTAAAGCATTTGAGATATGTTACTTTGGACTTATTAATCGTTTCTTGCTTTCATGTAATTTTGAGTTCTATGAGTTTGAAATTCTTATTTTTATCTTATTAATTTTATAGCAGTAATAACTCCAACCATTGTAATGAATAAGAATTCACAATTTATAACAAGTATAAAATCCATAATAATACAAAAAAATCAGCCACTATATATGCTTTAATATAATAGTTTTACAACGATATTCTCAACAACTCATAGAGAATTATTCAAAAGAAGTGTATTCAAAATGGGATTCATCAAGAAACTTTACTTCACAAGGCTTGGAGAGCAGAGGTACAAAGGAAAACATTAATCGTCTCTCTGTGTAAAGCATTATAATACTCTAAGTTGGCACTAAGTAAAATATTAGATATACAAGTGATTGTGTTGAACATCCTGTCAGTAGCTACTTACCTTGTCATCCTTAGACTCCATTCCTCCAGCTCCAGCCCCTGCGTCTCGAGGTTGCAACTCAAACAAAGTTCGAAAAAGAGTTTCTGAAGTTGTGGTCAAAAAACCGATTTCTGCATTAGGGTGTAGTCCATACAAGTATGGAGATTCAGGTGGAAGTTTTCCATCAACGTACATATGGTAACCCACATAATCAATATTGGGAGGCGCTGGAAAGCCAGGAGCAAGCAGAAGGTCTCCGTCCAGAAGTGTGGGGCTCATGTATTCTGCAAGGTAAGTACGACACAATCGCCTATCCCAGTCATCAGTAATATGACCTCCGTACATAATTTCACCAAACAAATAGCGTAAATCTTCCCATGGTACAGTTGAGGAGGCTTCCAAGTAATTGTAGAGAACGTGTACACTGATTGTTAAGTCGCCTGCAAAGGAAATACAATCTTGTAATTAGCATTGTTGTGATATAAAATACATTTTCTTTGAAATTGAACCAAAATTTGAACTGTACATACTGCATCATTAACATACTGTACATACCTACATTGAATGGATACCCTCGATTCCAACCTTGTGGTCCAAACTTTCTTCGCTCTGCAATAACAGCATGAAAGTAACACAAGGAGAAAAGTATAGCCTTAAATTCAGCTTCCTTGGAACACATCTCAAGTGTGTCTTGATTGAAATTGTCAAGAGCCTTGTGAATATTGGCCAGCATGCCCGTTGGAGGCTCGTTTGTAATTTTAATGGAGGACTCAAGAATCCCCTGAGGTATAACATGGGCAGAAGGATCTCCAGCGGGCTCTGCGCTGAGGTAAAGGCGATATTTTTTATGTGCCTTCAGAGAGCATTGTTCCATTTTCTTTTCAAGTGTGGGAAGCCATTTTGCAACCAAGTGAATATTCTGTAATATCACCCAGTGACCTTTCTTAGAAGCTACATCCATTGAATCCTCTGCAACAGGTTCTTGACCTTGACCCAAGGAGACATTGTGGAAGTTTCTCCGATCAAAAGTAAAGCCTAACTTTTTGCCTAATTTCTCAACATCTTTTAAAGGATCTACACCAGGAGACAGAATGAAAAACACAGGAGTTGATGAACTTGTCTCTTGAAAAGACTTTGCAAACTCTGGAGTACGGGCTTCGGTGAACTTCGTACCGAGTTTCTCCTCTATGAATCCTTTAATGGCGTACGTCATTCTGTCTGCCCGAAGTGCTCTCATCATGCACAGTTTTTGAAAAGAAGTTTTATTTTTCCACTCTTGGGGAAACTTTTCTTTTTCTGGACATTCAGAGTCTACAAACTTTTTCCAAGTTTTAGCCGATCCTTCAATATCACGATCGAGATTATGAAAATCCTCTATTGTAACAAGTGTTTTGATACCACCCCAGCTAAGGCTCGTGAGAAAATCAACAGGGCTCTCACCACTAGGTGTAATTGGAAATCTCAGCAAGAAATCGAGTTCACTAGGAGGTATTTCTTTCTTGTGAACTAAAATTTGAATAGTCATTTGTGACATGAAAATCAATTTATCTCGTTCAAATAATCCTCTGTTGGTGTACATGAATACGCAAAATGTAATGCTATCAAGAAGGTTTGGAAGGCGATCAACAAGCCTCTCAGCAGCTTCAGCTGTTGATAATGCGTTTTTAAACACAACATTGAACGCTTTGAGAGAAAACTGGTAAATGGGATTTATCTTGTTCAGTTCATTTAATATAAAATACAAAAGTGATCCTCTTGTAGCAGCAGGTCTGTATTCTTCTCGAGCTTGATCCAATTCGATGGCCGTCTGCTTTGCTTCTATAACTTTTACTTCAATTTCAGCGGACGTTTTCTTTGTAGTTTCCAAGTTAATCACTAAATTTTTATCACTAAGAATGTCTTCACCGGCGGCAGCCAATCTAGCCAATAAATCATCCTCCAGTTCGGCGAGAGTAATTTTGAAAATATTTTGCTGTTTTGTCAGGTTAGATTTTAATCTTTCTAAATCCGGTCTTTCAGCTTTTACTACCTCTCCCAAAAGCTGTTCTTCCAGACCGTCGCGTGTTACAGTAAAGTTTATTAATGTTGTCTGCGCTTGCATTTCTGGCTTATAATGTGGATTTGCCAGTTTAGTATGCAAAATTAGGCGGAAATCGGGATTATAGTCAATTTCTTTGTCTCCCATTTTTATCGCCCTTCCCTTTCTCACGAGATTGCGGCCGAGCACAGGATCCAAAACAGCATCCACGGATTCACCAATATTTTCAATGAGGACAATAAATCCATTGGTTATACTGTTTTCTATTACATCAAGATAATTTTTATGACCAAGTCTGACCACCTTCAGATCCTTTCCGTATCTTTGTTTTATCCACTTTATGCCTTGTAATTGTGGATCAATCATAAGAGGCCATCGGTCCGAATTTGTGAGAATTGTAGCATTTTCAGATGACATGCGATCAGCAGGCAAACCTTCGTTGTTCCACTTTGCAATCTGAGCGTCATCCGTAAGCATAGACAACGGATCCATACCTTCCGTTAGAGGAATAGGCTCTTTTAGCGTTTGAAAAAAGGGTTTCCATTTGTTGTTCAATAGATCAAGACGATACTGCCGAGTAAAACAGCCAACATAAGATATAAACGCAGTTACAAGAAGAACGTCTCCTGGAAGGGTGATGCCACTGGTCTTTAGATCAGCTACACTGTTTCTCCATCGTATGTTTTCAGAAGCGAGTCCATTTACTAATCGATTTGCTAGATCGATAGTAAGAGCAGTTGCATCGGCTTCTTGCTGGCATCTAACTTTTGCGGCAACTGCAGCTTCAAAATCAGCTGTCAGTAATCCTAACTTATGTTCCAATTCCCTAATTCGAGAAGTGAGTGTTTCTAATTTCGCTCGGGCAGCAGCAAGATCGTCATTGGCTTGGGCTAAGGCTTGCCTTTTGGGTTCTACCACTTCGTAAACTTCAAAGAACTTGATGATGTTGATTACCCATGCACAAAGACCTGCTGCTGCTTGAGATTTGCTAATGATTTTGTCAGGGTCAAATTCTGGATCAGCAATATATTTTTTGGTTTCTTTTACTACATCTGGTGGTATATTTTCTTTCTTGTAATTTATCAAGTTGTCCAGAAATGCATCTACTTTTGCCATCATTATTTTGCATTCTTTCCAACCTCTCTCTTTTGGAATTTTTCCCTTTTGGGAAAATAAAACCAAGACAGCAGCAGTTACATTAACTACTGCAGCTGGAGGTGATCCAAAGGACTTCAATTCTGTTAAATTGTTCTTGTTCAATGTGTTCAGAGCCTCCATTGCAGCTAAAAGCGCAGGCTCTGCTTTCTTCAAGTCGGCTTCACAAATTTTTTGCTTAGCGGTAACGTCTTCCTCGATTACTCGGACTTTGCCTTCTTCTTCTGCTACAAATTCTTTTTCCTTTGAAACTATTTCGGTTTCTTTACCAACGACTTGAATAAGTTTATCTGCAGCTTCGTTCTTCTCTGCAACAACAACCTCCTGTTCAGCTAATTTTACTTTCAAGCCTTCTACCTGTGTGCCGGCACTCGCCAATTTCTCTAAACCGTTTTCTAAACGTACGATTCTTCTCTCTAGATCTTCAGTTTTCGAGTTCAACAGTTTCCCGTAGAGATTGATCTGTTCCAAGAACGTCTTTGGGGTCGTGTAATTATAACGACGCTCATTTTGGAGGTAAAGACCAGACATCTCGTCCACTGTCGTGTGAACGTGTGCCATAAATAATGAAACGGATCTTCTCAAGTGTTCAGGTAACGTAGGTATTTCTTCCACGAAGCGTCCAGACACCGATTCCAAAGCCACCTGCGGCCACGCGTGGAACCAGTCGAGGGACGTGCAGTTGACCACGGCAGGGAACTTGCGCGCTCTCACCCTGAGGGTGGACCCGACCGGCGAGAAGCACAGCACCACCTTCATCAACCCTCGGACACGTTGAATGAAGAACTTCCAACAGTTTTCTTTCGTGTCGTTAATCCCCGCTGCTTTCACCTCATTGCGTATGTTGTTTACAATGTTTTCGATTTCGTCATCTTGGAATAATTCTGGAATTTCTCCAGAGGCCAATAAATCGTTTATAACGACAAGAAACTTCTCATCTGCTACTTGGGCATCAGACATGAGGTACATTACTCCGGTATTTTTCAGACCGGCTTTCATGTACAACACGTTAATATCCGCTCGCAAGTCATTAAGTCCATAACCTTTCCTCAACTGGAGCTGAAAAACCTCTAGTGAAGATATGAACGCAGCGAGTCGGGAGAGAGATTGTTTTCCACTTCCGCCAACTCCAATTAGTAAGGCGTTCCCTCGAGGACATTCCAATATACGATTAATGCGACAAACATGCTCCATGGCGTCTTCAAATAGCACAAGATTGAGGGCCCCTACAAGATCGTTATACTGAGACTGAGCTTCATTTAATAACTTTGATAGTTGGGGCCAGGTGTGCACTGGCAAATACTTCGTTTCGCCTATACCTTCAGCGAAATGACAATAAATCAAAGGAGTTTTAAACAACTCCTCTGGCTTAGCCTCTTCACATGCAGTTCTCGCAACGTCCTCTTGGAGTTTATTAAATATGGCAACGTCTTCAACGTCTACCAGTTTATCTCTATATACCCGTTGAGCTTCATGAATCCACAGGCGGAGCAATGATGGTACAGTCGGCACACACTCGGGAATAGAAAATAGGAGAGCCTGCAAAAATATTTATAAATTGTTATTGCAAATGATGTTTGAGGTGTTCAAAAATTTGATAGTAATTGCATTTGATTAATAACTATTCAGTCGTGATAGGAACCATTTAAGGCAAGCATTTAGGGAATAGGAAGCGTATTTCGACAATAGCCAACAACTGTGACAAACTAGTGAACGTCCTGTATTATTATTATTATTATTATTATTATTATTATTATTATTATTATTATTATTATTATTATTAATTTTTGGCAAGGAGTCAACGGTTACCAGATAATGAGCTCAGTGTGCCTACATATATATAGGTGTTATATATATATATATATATATATATATATATATATATTTCTTTTTATTTCCCTTCAATAATTCTTAACAAAGTTATTTTTGACAAGAATCTTTCAACAAGTTGTGGAAACTAATGGGAGCAGTCGGGAGGAAACTATTCATCTTACCTGAAAAATATTAGAGAGATCTCTCAGGTTAAAAGTATAATGGAACTTCACAGCTGTTGGTAAAAAGGAGGATGCCACTTTCTGGTGTAAAGTAAGGGCAGCAGTCACTATTTGCTGTGATGCTCGAGCCACGGTGGCGTTTATTTTGTTGAGAGGGTTACTCAGATGCTGGCTTAGAATTGAGAAGTAGATGTGGTTAAGGGGTTCACCCACCGGAAAACTGACGGCAAATACACAAAAGTGTCTTTGCAAGCGAGGATTGATGGTGAAACTTCCTGCAGTAGGATTCATACTGGAAACAAACATGCAATTATGAATGTCTTTGAGACTGAGTTTGATCCGATCATACCAATGTCCGTAGTCCATGTACTGGCGAATCAAAGTATGAGGCTGGACAGTATAATATTGGTCTACTTCAGGCATGTTCATATCGTCCACGAAGTAAATCATCGTCTTGGTTCCAGGAGGTCCGTAGTTCCGGCCCGCTTTTTTTTCCAGAGGTTTTTCCAATACCTTTTGCAGCATTTCAGATGTAGTATAAAAGTTAAAAGGCACATTTGTTACCATGTAATTTTCAGATAAACTGGATAGTTTATCAGCTATAATGACACTCTTGCCTGATCCTGCACTTCCAACCAACATTATTGGCAACTTTTTTTCCAACATTAAATCCATAAAGTATCGTAATCTTGTGGTTTCTGCAGTATCAACTAAAGTTGACTGAAAGAAAGAAATAATTTTGAATCTTACAAACTCACAAGGTATACAGCAAATTGGAAGACATTCAATTACCTGCAAAGGTATGTCGTAATCTAGTTCATAGGATCGAGTGAGTGTTGACCATGGAATAAATTTTTTTGTTTCGTCATCTATAACATAATCAAATACACTGCCTTGGGTAGGGATTTTTACAACTTTAAATTCATTTGTCCACCACTTTGTGAATTCCATTCTGTAGTCCACAATCTATGAATTAAACAGAAGCAGCATTAAAACATAGACATGTTCTCTTTCCTGTTATAGAAACATGTCGACATAACTACGATAACAATACCTGATCCTGAAACATGGTAGAGCCAAAAGCCCAAATGCACGCAAATACGAAGTATATCTCGAACCATTCTTTAGGACAATCAGAAGGTACATTCTTTGGTATAAGAAGACATTCCAATAAATTACACAACATTTCTAAATGAGCAACCTCAGCCAGAGGTGTAATTTTCTTCATACGGGATTTTAGAACGTCAAGGCATGGTGGTACGTATTTATCAAACAAAAGCATTAATATTGATTTCTCTGTCTGGTTAGTTCGTTTTTCATTCCAACTTGTCACGAAACTGTAATGACATCAAAAGCATTTTTTAAAGAGCAATTTTTTATTGTTCTTTTTTTCTTTCTCTCTTTCTCTCACACCCTCACACACACCCACACCCACACACATATATAACATCTTACGTGAAATATAGGCAAGTTTTGAGACTCACCAATTGATAAACAATAAAGACTACGACCAAACGTTGAAAATGAACTCATTGTTGTGGGAAGGGACTAGTGATGCTAAAACGGCACGCATTTTCAAGCCTTATTTTCACGCAAAATTACACGAAAAGTGCTCATATTTTCGAAAAATCGTACATAACTGTATTTTAAAATCTATCTTTAATGGGCAGATTTCATTAAGGGGAAAAATCTCTATCTTTAATATTTTAGTTGTAGGAAGACTCCGAAATAAATTTGAAATTTTGCAATTTCCGAAAAATTAGAGTTTTTAGCGAATATGAGATCTGCACCATTTTTTCAAATGTCCGTCACACTATCCAACAACAAAATTTATTCACAAATTATAGAGCCATTTTTTGAAAATTTTGAAAATATTCCAGGGTCATCATGTAAAGCACCTATTAATTTTGCAATAATCAATATTAATTGTGGAGAAAATCGGCTGAACTTGCGGCCGCTAGCGTTGTTCACAGACGGACAGACAGGCAGAAGGACAGACGATCGGACGGAGAGACATGTTTTGCACAGCCACATGTGGCGCGGTCCGAAACTATTTTGTCTAAATCTATGCTATGTATGGGTTCTTCTACCCGAGAGCAAGTGTGCATCTTAGTTGAAGCCCTCATTTCCTACGCTGAGATTTTCATGGGCAAGTTGTTCCGACAGTTGTTAACTATTGCTTTTCCCAGGGACATTGGTGCGCCTATTTTGACTTTGATTTGACAGCTAGATAACGCAGATTCTTGTCTCTGTGTTAACTATCTTAGTAGTCAAATATAATTTTGTGCCTTTGACTTAAGGTAGGATTTAATTTACTGAGAAGCAGTCAAACGGGGGCAGTACTTTTTTTCTTGCAGTCAGGTGATCTTTTTCACATGCCTTATAATAGGGGTCTCAAATGTGCGCCCCAATTTGCGTGCCCCGACCCACTGCTTATCTTTGGGCAGTGGGTGTGGTCCACTGCTTGTCGAGTCAGCCCGCCAGAAAGGAACAGGAAGAGCTCAGCGCGATCGGCTCTAGTGGGGTGAAAGGCGAATGGTTCACGACGAAACGCAGACAGTTTGACACAAATGAATTATTGCTTTGAGTAGCCCCACCTCATAACCCTCGTCAAGCATACCGTTCATGAAAAAATGTTTTAAACATTCTGTCAACTAAGGGTGGGTTTGAACCTGCGACTGAGAGAGAGCAGTTTGCCGCGATAACCAGTACTGCACCTGCGTTGCATATATTCAGTTGTTACTCACGGGCTCCAACCGAGGTCCTGTGGATTTATGAACAAAATTCCTGCACGAGATACTGTGGCTGGAGTAGCTGTTCTTAAATTGGATATCTCGAATATCAAGCGCATCGCTGATGTAAGAGCAATTCTTTCATTGCTAGCTAGCGTTAACACTTTATTATCATCCATAAGCGTGTTCAAGGATTCAATCCACATAGGATCAATATCACCATCCAATAAAATCCATTTGGGACCATCTCCTGATAAATTTGCTTGATCTCGCATAATTACAGAAAACAGTCCTGTGAAACACAAGAATTATTCGATTATATTTACATTACATACATATATACCATGTTTATGCAAAACATTCTATACGCAGTAAAAATGCAAACTACCGAAATCAATATAAAATGGATAAATACACTAAGATTACACAAGAAGCAATGGCAATGAGAGAGGCAATAACAGAAGAAAAACTCAATGTTTTACGAGCAAAAAGGATGATAATTGAATTCGGAAACGTCCGAACATTCCTAGAACCGGTAAGACATCTTTCAGAGGGCATCTCCGCACGCTAGTACTGCAGCAATTAATTTACACACGTCTGTGGTTTCAATGAATGTTTTTTATGTCTCATTAACCCGGAAGCTCGGTTAATAGAAATCTACTGGAGGTTTCAATACCTCGATGACCAACGATGAAATTGGAATAAGTGTGTTAAATTATCTCATTTTAGCAAAAACTGGACGTAGTGTCTTTTATCTCCTAGATACAAAATGACACAGAGAAAATAAACTCTGACCATCCTTCCATTCTCTTGTTGCAGGATTGATTATTCCAAACAATTCGTCATTTGTCACAGCTTTGGGATTTAAATCGTTGTAGGTAGGCTTCCTCTTCATGTTCTGATACGTTTTGAAGAGGGAACGCCACACCATAGTCTTCCCATGCCCGGCACCGGCTATAACAAAGACTGAATGTCGCACCGCCAATAGCTCTTCCAACTGCACAACCTGCGGAGATAGACACAAACAAATATATGGGAAACACTATTTGAATTATATCGCACTTTAAATTATCAGGTACAGAGGAAAGGAGAAATCTGATTGCTAGACATTCGGGGAACCTGTCGTAAAATGACACTCCAAAGAAAAAAAAAGTTCTACAAACTATAATTTTTAAGTTGGAACCTTTGTTTTTAATGAGAATATAAAACAAAGCCATCATTGTTTAGTGAATAAAAGAAAAACACACATATGTTATTTCTAAAAACTGATTTTTTAAAAATGCTGCCAAGTGTTATTTTATCCTCAGAATGTGGTTAAAGTGATGTACGTAGGGGCGCTTCAGAAATCACACTTGCTACTTACATGCAATTGTATGATTGCCGATTGTCGATGATTATAAATGTTAAATAATATAATGTTAAATAAATGCGATAAAGGTAAAAGAAGAAAATTTTAGGGGCCTTAAATACTTGATGGAGTAAATGGACTTGGTGTGACATTTTATCCCAATAGCGGGTATGTCCTTTTATCTTTAATTCACACGTTCAATGAACAGACATACTGATTGAAAGCACGAATACGCGCAATTTTTTAAGCAGCTGAAAGTAATCAGAAAGAAACCTTGTCTATAAAATGAATTGAATGATTCCAAAATGATGTACATTACCACAGAAGAACACGCAAGCTTCTGATCCTCTATTATTTTAGTTTTCGTGACAATAAGAGAGTTTTCAGAGAGCACAAAAGAACTACAGTATAATTGTGTATAACTACTGTATATAGAAACCCTAAAAACTATCTTGGTCTTATAAAGTGCGGTTTCTGGGAGCAATCGGGAAAATATGAAGTGTGTCGTTTTACCCCAGTGTGCCATTTTAGAAAAGGTTCCCTTCGTTCCTGAACCAATGGAATAATGACTGATTGATTGTCAGTGATTCCTCGCGCGACTGAAACAGAGTGTCATTAGTCCTGTAAGTGTAGTGTATGTTTTTGCTCGGTAGGTGGTTGGGTGGTAAGATTCGGCGTCGACCGACCATCGACTAGCGGGGTTTTTCCCCAACCAAGTATCTCCCACCAGCAGGGCATCGCCCTAGTCGGGACAAGCTCTAAGCTCCCGACCGGTCCCCCGGCAGTGTGGTAGTGTAGTGTATGTTAGTGTGTGTAAGGGGAGAGGATAGGTTAATAAACATATGATCGCGTGCGGTCCGTGGTCCGGTTGTTATGGTACTGCTCCGGCATTCGCCTGGTGTTGATCGGATAAATCACGCAAAACTACCGATCAGAGCAGCCCGCCGCTAGAATTCTCCCCCAGACTGCGACTGAATTCGTCCTAGCTGACAAGCTAGTGCCGAAAATCCTTCCACGGTCGCAACTCGAACCTAGAACCTCTGAGGGAGGGTGAGAGGGACTACAGAGCAATGGAATAAAGAGAATGAAGATACGCGACCATTGATTCGAGCACTGGAATTAATGTTAAAACGAACAAATTGAGGTATTTTCCCAACACCACATTTGGCTGGCCTACATGCATGGGTGGGAGAGGTTCTCTGTATTCTGCCTTTTTCTAGGCAAATATACGTAACAGTAATTTGTAATTGCTTTGTTATGCAAGTGTGATGCAAGATGTAATCATGATATGTGATGCTTATGGCAGATGAGCCACTATGAATTGGATTAGAATTCAGATGTGGGGGTTGGTAATTGACGCTAACCTCCCAAGTTCCTCATGATTAAAATACCCATTTCTTTCCCAAGAAATTCCCCCCTTCGGCTGAACGTGCATCGACGCTCTTTCAAGTCCCTGTGCTGTACATCAGAAGACGAAATATCAGAGAAATGTTTTTGTACAACGTTGAAACCATTAGAAACATATAAATTATATTTTATCTATTATTTAGTTACTACATGAAATATCAAAATACAAAGTAAAAAATTGACAAAAGATTGATTATATGAATTCATGTTGCCCAGAATTAAACTTAGATTTCAGGTGACCTAAAAATTAATATAAATATTTTCGAGTAAAATATTAAATTTTACTCCCTTTAGATATGAAACAGAAAAAATGCGTATATTTAAAATTAATGTTCACCTTCAAAACAAAGCTATCTTCTGGTTGTAGTTGTAAATCAACGACGGCTTTCTTAACTTGGCCTTCAAAGTCTAAATCTCTTTTTCGAGGGACATCCAGGGCCGGGAATAAATCTCCAATGAGTCCCATAAATACTGGCACATCGTCTGTGACGATTTTGGGTATATTGAAATCTCGAAGAGCTCGCATCAGTACTTGGTCTTCAGGGCGTTCGCGATCCCCTCTCTGAAAGCATACATATAACTTGCAAGTCAACAACTAGCATTAACATAATAATAATAATAATAATAATAATAATAATAAAAAATAAAATAATAATAATAATAATAATAATAATAAAAAATAAAATAATAATAATAATAATAATAATAATAATAATAATAATAATAATAATAATAATAATG